GATGTATATGTTGGTTTTCCTCCTAGTGAGGAAACCAATTTGGGTCTGGTTTAAGAATAACCAAACTTGGGTGTATTATGATCCATGAGATTATTATTGGGCTAAGGGTTATGAGGGAGTATATATATGACTCCAAACCTAATTTTAGTGAAGAGAGGCAATTTTCGTAGGCTAAGAAGGAGAAAAACAGTTTTGTCAAGGTTTGTTCAAGAGAACGTTTGGAGGCTTAAATGTGCTCTAATTTGGCTGAAATTTTTGGATTAGCTTCGTGACTCAGTGGTCTTGATATGCAACGGTGAAGATTGTATTTCAACGGTTGGTTCGTCGCAGATCTGGGTTTTAGCGAGGCTGTTRGCTGRTGTTGCGAGTTCAGATTTCAGACTGTGTTGTCTTGAGTGTTTGGGAAATCCGACGGTGAATTATTATTGGATTGAGCTGAAATTTGGCAGAGATATTCCTAACTTGTTTATCTAGGATTTATACGGTGGAGATCTGATTTGGTGATCGGAATCCTAGTGAATTTAGGGTCGTTTGGGACTGCTTGTTTATAGGCTCTTGTATTGCTCTCTTGTGGTGTTTCTTGTGTTGGAGATTGCTCTTTGGAGCCTTAGTCTTTGGATCTGTTCTTTGGGAACATGGAAGACGTGGTTGCAACTCAAATTTGATATAGTGGATTTTTGAGTGAACTACGGTCCCGTGGTTTTTACTCTTCACATCGAGGAAGTTTTCCACGTAAAATAATTCGTTGTCTCATTTACTTTACTGCTTTGATTTGCTGCTAGCGTATTCCATATTCTTCTCACAGGTTCACATAAGTGTGGAGAAATTTATTCCGATGCGCCATTGGTACTTATTGTTTTTCCCCAACAGAGTGGTAGTAGAGCTTTCTGGTTTGATAACTTTGGTTATTGGTTGTTTGCTTTTGTGAGCGATTGAAAATATGGGCAGGATGATTAGCTTGGATGGTTCTAATTATCATCTTTGGAAAGGTAAGATGGAAGATCTCCTTTATGTGAAGGAGCTTCATGTTCCAGACTTCGAGGAGAAAAAACATGAGGCTAAAACTGAAGATCAGTGGACACTGCTACATCGTCAAGTGTGTGGTT